GAACCCCTGCTTTGTCATGAATGCATCGAATTTTAGGTTCCATTGTCTTGGAGATTGTCTGAGACCATATAATGATTTTTTTCATGAGGCAAACTTGTTCTGTTTTCTTTCGAGTCTGAAATCACTCAGGTTGAAGATTCTTTCTTCTAAGTCCCCATGTAAAAAGGTTGTTTTTACATCCAATTGTTCAAGTTGGAGATCCTTTTCGATTACCAGTGATAATAGAACTCTGATAAAAACATGTTTAACTACTGGAGAATAGATTTAATGGAAATCGATACCTTCTATCTGAGAGTAGCCTTTAGCTACTAGCCTTTCCTTGAATCTCGGCTCTTCCACTCCAATGAATCTCGGGTTTCCTTTTAAAGACCCATTTGCACCTAACGATCCTTTGGTTTGCTGGTTTCTCTGTCAATTTCAAGGTTTTTTCTTTTGTAGGGAGACCATTTCCTCCTTCATTGCAGACAGCCAGATCTATATGATTGTTGTGTGTTTCCAATTGCTCGCGAAAACCTTACTCCTGATTTCGCCCAACTAGGCTCTGATACCACTTGCTATCTGTTAACCCAGCACATGTTTCCGTTTCGAAGTGCGATTGAGCGAGATGATGAACACAAATCAGATATAGAATCACAACACCAAGGTTTAACGAGTTCGGATCAAACCTGATCCTATGTCTCGGTCGAGATTGATCTCGACAAATCCACTAGCGGTTTCCCTTTTCCGATTACAACCCGAGAACTCTTCACAAACCTAGAGAGCCTTTTGAATCTTTACAAAAGAAGAACGAAGAAGAAAGATTGAAGTGTACAACGTCCAGTAAAGAACATAGGTTTTATACGAGCCTGAGCTTGTAACAGATTTCAACAACCGATTGGTTGTTAAAAGACTCCTTTGCCCTTAGTAAAACGTTGCGTTTAGAAACCCATGCCTTGATCAATTCGATCTCCTTAACCAGTAAAGAAATCTTCTGATTTTCTCAAACCAGGATCCTCCCCCTGAAACAGAGGAACTCCTAACTCAGCATTACAACAGTTAGTAAATAATATGTTAACTTTACCTTTTTCTTTTACCTTTTCACAACTCCATCCCTTCCTTCTCCAATTTGTTTTTTTTTTTTGGTCTTATGCAATTTCTCACTCTCCATCGGCTGCCATTGCATATCATCACCATCGTCTTCACCACCAATATCGAACGTTTATCTATCTCTCTTTGTTGGTCGTATGTCGAATTTAGCACAAATATGAATGTGTATATGGCTTTTTGGTTTGATTTTTCATTTTGATTCCTCATCCCTAGGTTTTTGGTTTTGATTTTGATTTCTGAGGTTGTGATTTTGTTTCAAGTATCCAACCTATGCTCATCCCGGGAAAATTATAACGATTACCGAAATTGAATTTATGTATCTAAAGAAATGTTATACTATTTTTGCTGTGACCAATTATGATTGAGGTTCTTCAAAACCAAAATGTTTTTGGTTCGGTATAATTTCGATTCAATTCAATTTGGATTCGTTCTTTAGTATTTGTTTTCGAAAACATTCATTTTTTGTTATTTGTCTTTGTTTTCATTTCGATTCACTTAATTTAATCATAAAAAAGTTATAACAAATAAAACGAAATAAAAATTGGTTATCGTAGCTTTGGGTGCCTTAATAATATCCTTTAGGTGTATTACTCATCTATTTTTAATCTTAATTTGTTATGGATCCTTTGTATTTTGTGATCTTTGGTAAACTATGGCCGTACGTTGCACTTTTGCATTTGATTAATAATACTATTTACAATTTACCAAAAAAAAAGGTTAGATTTTTCCGTACATTTCGGATTTGTGATTTGGCCAATCCCTCGTCGAAAGAGACGAGTCAGGTCATCATTTCTCTAGACCATGTCGTAGATATACAGCGAAGCAAAGGGTAAAACTGTAAGTTCGTTCGACATCCTAACTTTAGTTACCGGGGATGGCCGTTTCGTTATGCATCAGCGGTCGGAATATTTCCAAGTAAGGAAGAGAGAGAAAGGTAGAGAGAGACAGTATAAATTGAGAATACCAGGACAGCCATGGCGGCAGATTCTCTCTCTCCTTCAGACAGCTCAAGAGAGAGAGACTTGGGGAACAAGAAACCACATTTGAAACGAGGGTTTGACCCAAACCGTCTCTTGTTTTTTTGTTACTGTCGCATTTGTCTGACCCATTCTTCTCTTTGATCTGAAAACAGATTTCGTTGGCAGTTCCTATCCTCTTTCTCGGATACTTAGATTTGTTAATTTTATCTTTTTAAATTCTTATTCACATTTACTTCTCCGTCTATGGTTTTCTCCCTCAGAATCCTTCTCTCGTCGGATTGAAAGCGGTTCCATGGAGAGGAAAAGGTTCAAATGAATATGCTGAATTTCTTTCATCCTCATACACGATCTATGGTTATTGGTTTGAAATATTCAACTATTTGGTCATTTTTGTGGTTACCCTTTTGATTTCATCCAAATCTTGTTTACATCTTCATGGACTTCTGAATCAGTCTCGAGGAAATTGTCGGTTTTGGGTTTCAGCGTTCACCCCTTTTGTTCATCCTAAAGTCAATTCTGCATTCGAGTTTTTCCCAAGTTCTTATTCATATCCACCAGATTTCCCAGCTTTATTGGGCAGAAGCATTCAGCGTCTGGCATTTGTTCATCGCTGAGTTTGTCCATTTGGTTTTGTCCAGATCATATACAGTCATCGTCTGTCCATCCAACATTCAGCATTCTTGTTTTGACTGAGTTTGGTTTCTGAAATTTTTTACAGAATGTGTGGATGAATAAAAGGGTTGGTGATACAACAAACAGAAGGGCAAAGAATGGGCGGGGAAGAGATGGCATCGGGTGGTGGAAACGCAGAGAAGATTCTGGTTTCGGTTAGGGTTAGGCCATTGAATGAGAAAGAGATGACGAGGAACGATATCTGTGATTGGGAATGCATCAACAACACCACAATCATCTGCAAGAACAATTTTCCTGAGAGGTCTTTGTTCCCGTCTGCATATTCGTATGGTAAGATCTGAATGTATACGGTAATCTGAATTCCGTATTTGGATAGATCGGAGAACACATTCAATGTTTATGAGATGTTTTACAGACAGAGTATTTGGATTCGAATCTCCCACGAAGCACGTGTATGAGGAAGGAGCCAAGGAGGTTGTCCTATGTGTACTCACCGGAATCAACTGTAAGAAACCGTGTTTTTCTCTCTTCTAATGCCAATGAGATTTGTCTATGAATCATGACATGAGAATCTTTTTTTTTTTTCACAGCGAGCATCTTTGCGTATGGGCAGACGAGCAGCGGGAAGACGTATACAATGAGTGGAATTACCGAATTTGCGATGGACGACATATATGATTACATCGAGAAGGTTATTAAACCGAGATCTCGAAACCCTTCAACATCGTTTTCTGCCTCATCAGGATGCGAATTCACTCTTGTTGGATGTGTCCTTACAGCATAAAGAAAGGGAATTCATTCTTCGGTTTTCTGCAATTGAGATCTACAATGAAGCTGTCAGGGACCTTCTCAGCGGAGATAATACACCATTAAGGCTTCTAGATGATCCAGAGGTACTTTCCAAAACATTTCCGGGAATATTTCACATTGATCTTGTTTAGTCATTGATCTCTATATGTGGTTGCATCAACAGAGAGGGACGGTCGTCGAGAAACTTAGAGAGGAGACACTCAAAGACCGGAGCCATCTAGAGGAACTTCTATCGATATGCGAGAGTGAGAAAATATGCCATCTCGCTATATACACATATATTCGTTGATAGTCATCAAAGTAGAACGCAATTACCATACTGTCAATTCTTTTACCCGTGTTGTCATTGCAGCTCAGAGGAAGATTGGGGAGACCTCTTTGAATGAGACTAGCTCAAGATCTCATCAGATTCTCCGGCTGGTACTTACATCATCCAATTACGATCGGCTTTTTTAGCTTTTTATTCTCAAGTAAAACCGCATGTCCTTGCTAACAACAACATCTTGCAGACAATCGAAAGCTCGGGTCGAGAATTTTCTCCGGAAAACGCAAGCACTCTTGCTGCATCAGTGGTATAAGCATATAAATCAAACGAAAATTCAAAACAGTCTTTTTTTCATTTGATTTCATTATCTGACGAGAATTTCCGGATTGTTCCTCTTCTTAGTGTTTTGTTGATCTGGCTGGAAGTGAGCGTGCATCTCAGACGTTATCTGCCGGTACAAGACTGAAAGAAGGTTGCCACATAAACCGGAGTTTACTCACTCTAGGAACCGTCATTCGGAAACTGAGGTCAGTTTTCTGAGTTTATACAGTTTTCCTGTCCCGAAACCGAGAAATAATGTGTCTGACACCAAGTTTTTTGGTTATTACAGCAAAGGGAAGAATGGGCACATACCATATCGAGACTCGAAGCTAACACGTATATTGCAGAACTCTTTGGGAGGGAACGCGAGAACAGCAATCATCTGCACGATGAGCCCAGCTCGTAGTCACGTTGAGCAATCAAGAAACACCCTTCTCTTTGCGAGTTGCGCTAAAGAGGTAACCACAAATGCTCAAGTCAATCTGGTAGTGTCTGAGAAGGCCTTGGTGAAGCAGCTTCAACGTGAACTCGCTCGGATGGAGAAAGAGTTGAAGAACATTGGCTCTGGTTCTGCAAGTTCAGGTTTCTACTCCATGCTGAAACAGAAAGAGGAATTGATTGAAAAGGTGATACTGATTTTTCTTTTCTTATTTTTATTATTGTAATGTCTCCTCATGTTTTATTGAAGCTTATACTACAAAATTGTAGATGGGGCAACAAATCAAAGAACTGACATGGCAAAGGGATCTTGCGCAATCCCGGGTTGCGAATTTACTAAAAACAGGATCTGAAGATCGGTCTTTGAGGATGGATGAGAATTCAGTGACGAGCTCCATGGATATCGACAATCCTTTTCTTTTGGAAGCATATCTCAGAAGAAGGAGCAATGACTCGAGGGGTTTCGGTGAACCTAGTAACTTAAGGAAGACCAATGATCTCGATCTTTTGGAGAATTCTGAAGATGATTACTTCCTACTTGATGATAGTACCCCACAGTTTTCGAGTCACGACCTTGGCGGCAAGGACTGGGAGGAGATCGCTCAAAGAACCAACCAAGAACCGAACAATGTATGCAAAGACGTTAGATGCGTCAAAATGGATGGTCGGGAGATTACTGGACAATTAGAAAGCGAAGAAACCCGAGAGTCACAAGATGTGACGGTCGATAAGAAAGCTATATCTGAGGTTCTGTCACCAAGAAAGGAGGAAAATTTATCTGGAACACCATCTCGGGAATACAAAGAACATGAGAAATCGTCTATGCAAGATGTGAAACATGCTGAAGATGGAGAGATGAAATCGAGTACTCACGCAGAAATTGAAGATGATGCTAAGATATCTCTGAGGAAGACAGATGCAGAGTCGAGTCCGAATGAACTTGAGGGAAATGAGCAAACTTTAAAGGTCTTGGATAAGGATCAACACTTTTCGGTTGATGCCCACGAAACTCAGCAATCGATGGAGAAGGAAGATGATGAATTGATCGTGTTTGCGGAGCAGCCGATGAAATATTCAGAGAAAAAAACTGAGGAACTGGGTTCATTTGAGGAGCAGTCTGAGCAATACTCCAAGAAAGAAGTGGGGAAACTGAAAACGTTTTCCGTGGAGCACACTGAATTGAGTTCATTATCGAAGAAGAAGCAATCTCCAGAAACAATGGAGTTAGAGTTAGCTACAGGTGGTAAGTATGAACAAAACGAATCACCTTTCGACCAAAGAGAGACGAAGGTAACACTTACAGATCATATAGACAATAGCACTTACGAGACATTGACGAAAAAGATGAAGGAAATGCAGAAGACGATCGAATACCTCATGAGTATGCACGCCTCAGAACAACAACAATCTCCTTCCTTTGAAGCGGAGTATGTGAGTCCTGCTCACGAAAAGCTGAAAAGAAGTAGAAGCTGCAAAGAAATTCTCTTGAACGCTCGTTCTCCACTTTGGATCGAGAATTCAGACCATAAAAAAAGAGCAAAGGAATCTGCCTGGAGGCTCATGGAATTGAAAGAAGTTGATTCCGTTCGACGGGCCTTGAGCAAGACTTTTAACACATCGAGCGTTTCCTTTGATACAGAGAGCACTATCAGTTCTGCCTCCATTGATGCAGAGAATGGAAGTGGCTTCCACGAATTCGTCGCGGGTCTGAAAGAGATAGCAAAACAGCACCAGTCGGTTGGCTCAACACACGAGAATACTCAGGATGTAAATGCAGAAAACCTAGACGATTCTACATTCGATCAGACAAAGAGAAATGACACCGATGATTCTGTAAGCAATCGAATCTTCTTGTTCTCTTTCTCGATGATAAACTAAGTTTTGATCTCTTGATGAATTTTAGGAGGAAGAAGCTGAGGCTAATGAAACGGTGAAGAACACGAGAGTCGGGAAAGTAGAGGCAATGGCTAAAGAACAGAATTCAAGTGAGCCTTCGGAATTCGAAAGGCAGCAAAAGCAAATAATCGAGCTTTGGGAAGTATGCAATGTGCCATTGGTTCACAGGACATACTTCTTCTTGCTCTTCAAAGGCGACCCTTCCGACTTTGTTTATATGGAAGTCGAACTCAGAAGACTGTCTTTCCTGAAGGAGTCCTTGTCTCATGAATCTGACACATCAAGGTTTGTCCGAAACATTTCGACATCGATCTATGAAAAATAAAATGGTTGGACTGATAGATAATACTACGGTTCTAAATCAGGAGGCAAAGGGTGAAGGCGCTGACGCGTGAGAAAGAATGGTTGGCAAAGCAAATACCAAAGAAGTTTACAAAGAGCGAAAAAGAACAAGTTTACAGGAAATGGGGAATAGAACTGAACACAAAGCAGAGGAGCCTGCAGGTAGCTCACAGGCTATGGACAGAATCTAAAGAAATGGAACACGTAAAAGAGAGTGCATCTCTCGTGGCTAATCTCGTTGGATTCGTGGAGCCAAACCAGACCCCAAAGGAAATGTTCGGTCTCACCTTATCAACGAGGACTGTTCACATGAAATCCTCTGGCTGGAGATTCACCAAATCATTTTCGGGTTTAAGTTTAAACTGAACGAATATTGTCAAATCTCTCGTGTTTGTGTGAAGTTGTGAAAGAGACCTTGTATGTATGTATTACGTAATTACAGAGGAAATGACTTACACTTACTAATCCGCAAATCATCAAGTGGTAAGAACGGATCCTTGGGTGATTTTCCAACCAGACTTGGACCTCGTCGCTTCGTATCTCGTCGTGTA